AAAGGAAGAGCAAGCCTGAGACGAGACCATTGTGCCTATTGTAAGGAAACAGGACACTGGAAAAATGAATGTCCCAAACGGCAAAATAAGAAAACTGAGCCCCCTTTTCTGCCCATTCGCTATCAACAAGAGCCACCTGAAGCAGATCTCATTGGGCTAGCAATGGCTGATTCCGACTAGGACAGACCGGGCTCTTTTCAGCTAGGTCCCCACGAGCCGATGGTCAGAATGAACATTGGGGGCCAGACTGTGGACTTTATGGTTGATACGGGAGCTGAGCACTCAGTAGTCACTCAGAAAGTAGCGCCTCTCTCAGGAAAGGAGGTCACCATTATTGGAGCTACTGAGGACCAGACCTGTAGATCATTCTGCTGCCCTCACCGATGCCAACTTGGTGGTCATCAAGTAATTCATGAATTCCTGTACTTGCCAGACTGTCCAGTGCCTCTAATGGGTACAGACCTTTTAACCAAAATGGGGGCAGAAATCACTTTTGCTCCAGATGGCCCAGCAAAGCTTCGCCGAGGTGAGGAGACCTCCCCAATGATCCTGTCCTTAGCAGTGCCAAGGGAGGAAGAATGGAGACTTTATACTCCCCAGACAAAGGCCTCACCATTATAACCTGAATTAGAGAAGGAATTCCCGCTGGTCTGGGCAGAAGGGCATCCTCCAGGCCTGGCTAAGGACCATGACCTGGTGCTAATCGAGTTAAAGCCTGGGGCACAGCCTGTTAAAATCCACCAATATCCAATTCCAAGGGAAGCATGCCTAGGAATCCAGGTCCACTTAGACCGGCTGCTTCAGTGGGGACTTGTTAAACAATGCAGGTCTCCATGGAATACGTCTCTCTTGCTTGTCAAAAAGCCTGGGACTAACAACTACCACCCAGTGCAGGATCTACAGGCTGTTAATGAGGCTATTATAACCCTGCATTCAGCACTGCCAAACCCCTGCACTCTTCTGGCACTCATCCCATCAGAGGCGGAATGGTTTACATGCCTAGATCTAAAAGATGCCTTTTTCTGTCTTCGATTAGTGCCTTCCAGTCAGCCTCTCTTCGCTTTCCAATGGGAAAACCCAACTACAGGGGCCAAGGAGCAGTTCACCTGGACCAGACTGCCACAAGGGTTCAAGAACTCCCCTACTCTCTTTAGTGGAGCACTAGCATCTGATCTGTCTAAGTTTCCAGGACAGGACTTGGGGAGTGTTCTACTCCATTATATAGACGACCTCCTACTGGCTAGCTCCACATGAGCTCAGTGCTGGGAGGGAACACGAGCCCTTCTGAGACTATTAACTGAAACAGGTTGTCGGGTGTCTAAGAAAAAGGCACAGATTTGACAGAAAGAACTCAAGTATCTAGGCTTCCGGATCACCCAAGGGAAACGAAGGCTAGGGACTGAAAGGAAGCAGGCAGTATGTGCCATCCCAGTCCCTAGCACCCGGCGGCAGATTCGGGAATTCCTAGGAGCGGCAGGGTTCTGTCGAATTTGGATCCCAGGGTTTTCAAAACTGGCCAAGCCTCTCTATGAAGCTTTAAGAGGAGAAGAGAAGGCACCCATCGACTGGGGTCCCGAGCAGGAGAAAGCCTTCATCACCATAAAGGCAAAGCTCACTGAGGCCAGTACTAGGGCTACCAGATGTGACTCGAGACTTTAATCTTTTTCTTCACGAAAACAGCAGGGTAGCCCTAGAAGTTCTAACCCAGAAGTTTGGACCCTGGCAAAGACCAGTAGCCTATCTCTCCAAGCGGATTGACCCAGTTGCCTCCGAGTGGCCCCCGGGCCTCAGGGCCCTTGCAGCCACGGCATTATTAGTCAAGGAGGCGGAAAAGCTTACCTTAGGACAAAACTTAAATGTAAAAGTACCTCATGCTGTTGTCACCCTGATGGAAGCAAGGGGCAGCACTGGCTGACTCATGCTCGAATGACTCAGTATCAAGGGCTGTTATGTGAGAATCCTCCGGTACAATTAGAAGCAGTGAAAACACTTAATCCTGCCACCTTTCTACCCTGAGCATGATTGCCTGGAAATCCTAGAGGAGGTCTATTTCAGCCTAAGTGATAGGCCCCTGCAAAACGTGGACTTGGTATTGTTCACAGACGGCAGCAACTTCTTAGATGAAGGAAAAGACAAGCCGTATATGCAGTGGTATCAAACTTTGAGACAATTGAAGCACAGGCCCTGCCTGAAGGATGGTCAGCGCAGAGGGCAGAGCATTGGGCCCTAGTAAGAGCCCTAGAACTCAGTAAGAATAAGCGTGCCAACATCTACACTGACTTGCACTATGCCTTTGCTACCCTGCATATCCATGGGGCCATATATAAGGAAAGGGGGCTCTTGACGGCAGGAAGAAAAGGAATCAAAAATCAGAATGAGATTTTAAAGTTACTAGAAGCAGTCTGGGAGCCCAAGGAAATAGTCGTCATCCATTGCAAAGGTCACCAGAAAGGGAAAGACTCAGTGTCAGAAGGAAACCAATGTGCTGACGCTGCAGCCAAGCTGGCTGCTAAAGGACGAGTGGCACTGTCATGGATCATGTTGGCCCTGATTTACCTGAACCTCCGAAATACACTCCTCAGGAGGAGGAATGGGCCCAGAAAGAAGGGGGCAAGAGAATAATGGAAGGCTGGTGGATACTCCCAGATCATAGGGTCTATGTCCCAGAGCAGTTAGCCCATAAGTAGTCCTCCAGCAGCATGAACTCACTCATTTAAGAAAGGCTGAAGCTTTGTTAGGCAGATTCTACCTAATTGCCCATCTTCCTTCCTTGTGTGCCTCAGTCTCTCAGCGTTGCCTCTTCTGTGCTCAGAACAATGCAAAACAGGGTCCTGTGGGACTGACAGGAGTTCAGTGCTGTGGGCAAGCTCCTTTTGAGGACTTAGAAGTCGATTTTACACAAATAGGGCCTAGCAGAGGGAATAAATACCTGCTAGTCTTTGTTTGCACCTTTTCAGGCTGGGTCGAGGCATATCCCACTCACACAGAAAAGGTGAGAGAAGTCACTAAGGCATTGCTGAAGGATATAATTCCACGGTATGGAATGCCTCTGACCATAGGGTCGGATAATGGCCCCAGTCTTTGTAGCAGAAATCGTACAATAGGTAGCCAAGGGCTTTAGGAATTAAATGGAATCTACATACAGCTTACAGGCCTCAGAGTTCAGGGAAAGTTTAGCGCATGAACTGGACTCTAAAGCAGCCTATGGCTAAGCTATGCCAAGAGACAACCTTACCCTGGACAGATATCTTGTCTCTTGTAGTCCTGCGGGTACACTGTGCCCCAAGGGCCAGGGTAGGTTTCTCTCCCTTTGAAATTCTATATGGTAAACCCCCTCCCTTAATTCGGCCAAGGGGAGGTTTGGGGGAAATAGGGAACTTAGAAATCCAGAAACAACTACAAGGACTTGGAAAAACTGTCTTTGAGGTCCACAGGTGGGTTATTGACCGACTACCCATTTCCCTAGGAACACCCGTACATCCTTATAAACCTGGAGACCAGGTTTGGGTAAAGGATTGGAAAAAGGATTCCCTCAAGCCTACCTAGAAGGGAGCCTATCCAGTCATATAAACCACCCCCACAGCTCTTAAAGTTGTAGGACTAAACACCTGGATCCACCACTCCTGGGTGAAAGCAGCCCACCAGGCGAGTGACATCCAGTCTGAGTAGAAGGTGACCTCTGACCAGAAACACCCCCTGCGGATTACCCTCAGGAAGACAGCAGACTTGGCTGAGCAACCTGCTCCAAGGAATTCAGATAACACCCTGCTGAATTCTCCCTAACACTAATCTGTCTTTCTTATCTCCTCTTAATATAACACGCTCTAGTATTTCTGGTTAATCACTAGTTTTATCTAATAATTCTCAGTATGTCTTTCTATGAGTGCCAGAGGAATCCGAGACTAGTACCAGGAGGAGAACTCATCTGCTCTTGCTGGGACGCAGAAGCACCATAAAATTACTGCTCCCCACACAGAAAGGAAACAAAGGCCTTATCATAAACTGTTGGATTACACCTTGTCATGCCATCCTTTGCTCCTTGCTTAGAAACTTGCTACCCAAATATGCTAGACCGGGTAGTCCACGAGAAAACCCAATCAAGCCAGATTTTTGTTAGCTATACTTATCAGCCTGGGGCATGTTACGACTCTACTACCAAATGCATGTGGCAGGGGTAGGGGAGTTGTATTAGATAGCACCGGTCATGGCCAATGTGCAGCTAACTAATGTTGCTCCTATTTGTTTCAGCAGTACGCAGGGCCAACATCCAACAGGTCACCTCCCAGATGAACTGTGCAACTCTACCCCCAAGGCTGAAAACACCACCTACCCCTGGTGCCCCTTGCAGGAATATTCTATGCATGTGGGACCACTGCTTACCTCTGCCTGCCTGAAACCAGAAGAACTCTCTACAAACCCCTCTGAGAGGAAGAAGCAGGATGCTAACCCCTTGGTCATCGTCCCTTTCCAGCAGGAAGTAGCTAAGAGCAGTCATCACCCTGGTTCACCATAACATCCCGTGGTCTTTGCTCCACAGGCTAAGAGAAGCTTGTGCAACAGGAGGGTGGGGGAGAGATGAGGAGGAAACTGGTCTTGAAAGGAGTGTCTGGCCATAAAAACTGAACAATGTACAGCCCTTGGGGTGGTGGGGGAAGGTCGTTATCACTGGGCCCAGGAAAGATCATTGAATATGGCCTGGGGACCCCCAACACCTGGGGGTCTTCCTGTAAGCTCTCAAAAAGGGGGCAGAACCATATCTGCAAGACAAAGACCACAGAAGGTTATAAAAAGTGAAGCCCTCTGCCTGTTACTCACTCTGATTTGGAAATTATTCCCGGAGTCGACTATTGTTAATAAAGGGGTCCCTCCCTTTCTCTAGGAAGTGTGCTTGGTATTTCTTTGGTCTCCTGCAACACTGTGTCCCTCCGCCTGGGTGCCCCACACTGGGCGTCGCCGCCATCATCTCTCACCATCTTGATGGGTCCTTCCTGTCCCCACAGCGCATTTCCTGCAGCAGATTAAGTTCGAGTGTCATTTCTCCAACGGGAAGGAGCAGGTGCAGTTCCTGGAGAGATACATCTACAACGGGCAGGAGGACTTCCGCTTCGACAGCGACGTGGGGGAGTTCCGCGCCCTGACCGAGCTTCGGCGGCCTGATGAGAAGGGCTGGAACATCCAGAAGGACATCCTGGAGCGGAAGCGGGGCGCGGTGGACACGTTCTGCAGATACAACTATCGGGTGTCTGAGGGATTCTTGGTGCCTTGGAAAAGTGAGCACAGAGGTGGGGTGGGGGGATTGGTCCCATGTGCGGCGGGGAGGGGGAGAGGGCATACACAGGGCTATGAGGAGCACCCGTGAAGGGCCTGAAGGCAGCTTTGGGGACCCTGTGGTCCTGTCCTGGGTAGGAGAGTTTCTGGGGGTGCCCAGTCATGTCCAGTCGGTGAGAGTTTGGGGAGCAGATGGGAGGGAGTGGGGGAGGTAGGAGGAGGGAGTCGTTCTGTCTTGGCCAAACCCCCCCTGACCCTGAGCCCCTGGAATAGGGGTGCTGGGTGCACAAGCCTTTCCCTGGGCAGAGGGTCAGGCTGGGTGTGAGAGGTGGGGCCTCCGAGGCACCTCTGGCCTCTCTGAGCTCCTTTTAGGCCTCAGTGTCTTGTTCCCCCCTCAGTGCCCCTGTGTTTACAGAGGGTGAGCCCGGGTCTAATTGTAATTGTGTTACTTAACACACTGATGTCACATCTACACAGGCTGACAGCATTTAAGTAATTACATGTTAACTTTTTAGAGTTCTGACAATTTGCGTTCTGTTTTTTGTATCTTTTTTATTTATTTTCTTTTTTTAAATATATTTTATTGGTTTTTTACAGAGAGGAAGGGAGAGAGATAGAGAGTTAGAAACATCGATGAGAGAGAAACATCGATCAGCCGCCTCCTGCACATCTCCTACTGGGGATGTGCCCGCAACCCAGGTACATGCCCTTGATCAGAATCGAACCTGGGACCTTTCAGTCCGCAGGCCGACGCTCTATCCACTGAGCCAAACCAGTTTCGGCTATATCTTTTTTAATATTGTCAAT